CTTTGATGTACTGGTCCTTACTGACTTCTGTCCTGGTGATCCCACCAGAGGCTGCTCTACATTTTCTAAAGCATGGAAGACAGACAAGTGCTACTGTTGGGCCTGCGTGAAAGTTGAACACCTTTGCTGAAAAACAGCAACGAGCAGTGCAGTGGGTTTGAAACTATTCACAACACAGGAGAGACACAACCTTACACTGCTGCTTCTGCATCTTGGAATATAGACTGGTTTTAATGGGCTATTGCTGTCGAGACCTATTTTACCCAACAATAATTGGTAGAAAATGCTGGCCTTGGTATCCAGAAACCACTGGTTCCTATTATAGCAGCTTCACCAAGGAATGAATATCCTCTGGGAGAGCACAGCAGTGCAAAAAGAAACGTGTTTGATCAGAAAACAACCTGTGCTTGCTCTTGGTGGGAATTGTTGGGCTTCTGTAAATAACATCATAGAGTATGGTCTAGACCGATTCTCTGGTGAGGACGGGTTGATTCTGCAAGATGCAGGTCACCATCCCAGAAATTTCAATTTCATTTTAATGTTGGCAGATACAGAGTTCAGTACATGCGTGGTGACCAGAAACAGGAAATACTGGCTGTTTGAGAAGAAACAAGAACATCACAGACCTGGGTCACTATTCTTTCACAATATGGGCTGATCACCTAACCTTCTCATACTTTGAGATAGACTTTTCTTGTATTTCTTTCATACTTTTTCTTTTATTTTTTGATACTTTTTAGGTTGAAGTTTTCTCTGCACCAGTCAGACTCACAGGTAACTAGTAATGAACACAGCAGTGTGTATCTTTACTTTCAACACGGTGTGGGCTCCCGTCTTGGTACATCACACGCCACAGCAGATCTTTGGTTTAGTGAGAAATTTTATTTGGTATCTGTGAGTAACTACACAGTGTTCTCATACATGTCATCTGCAGTTCATCAAACTCTTATAATTATAAAAAATTAGGGCAATATAATCAACTTACATCTAATACAAAAACAAATCAGTCTAGGAGTGAGTGGCGCGATATGTGAATTGCTTTCAAAGGACACGGCTTTTGAGCATCATGGAACCGAGATTGGAAAACGAGTACACGTGATGTTTTGAACTATCAACAATCAAGTCTCTGTGGCGCAATTGGCCAGCGCGCTCGGCTGTTAACCGAGAGGATGGTGGTTCAAGCCCACCCAGGGACGATTCCTCTATAGCCCTTGGAAGTTCACGCTCTTTGAACGTTTCGTCCACTGCGAAGTACCTCTTGTCAAACAGGACTAGTGCCACGTTGTCCCTTGATCTCGCCTAGCTCATCCCTTTGTCCTCTTGTGACTCCAGAGGCCTTAACGGTGTTGGCTTTTCCGCTACCACATGCCATCCTAGAAGTGAATAGCAAGTCTGTTTTTCTTTGCTTTTACTGAAAAAGGAATGAAAGACGTTAACGAGCCCATTTGATTTCATTGAAACATTCACGGGAAAGTCTGTCAAATAACCAAAGCGCATGGCCCGTGGCTTAGTTGGTCAAAGTGCCTGTCTAGTAAACAGGAATCCTGGGTTCAAATCCCAGCGGTGCCTGAGTGGCATTTTTAAACGATGTGCCACTTCCCAAGGACAAAAACGAGAATAACCTCATGTGCGTTCTATGCAGCTTCAAGAAAAACGCAAGTGAACAAGAGAGCGCGGCAATCCGAATACTTGATTACAAAACTAGACGACCTGAAACAGGTAGCGTAGTTGCCTGCGGCGGGTGCTGTGGCTTAGTTGGTGAAAGCGCCTGTCTTGTAAACAGGAGATCCTGGGTTCAAATCCCAGCAGTGCCTTTACAACTTAATGTGTCCACGGGAGCCTCTACCTATTCAAATCTGAAAACAAGAAATTGCTCCCTTAACACACTTAAACACCCTCTGACTGAATCAGCTGTTTCTAAAATCGTCCTTTGATGTACTGGTCCTTACTGACTTCTGTCCTGGTGATCCCACCAGAGGCTGCTCTACATTTTCTAAAGCATGGAAGACAGACAAGTGCTACTGTTGGGCCTGCGTGAAAGTTGAACACCTTTGCTGAAAAACAGCAACGAGCAGTGCAGTGGGTTTGAAACTATTCACAACACAGGAGAGACACAACCTTACACTGCTGCTTCTGCATCTTGGAATATAGACTGGTTTTAATGGGCTATTGCTGTCGAGACCTATTTTACCCAACAATAATTGGTAGAAAATGCTGGCCTTGGTATCCAGAAACCAACTGGTTCCTATTATAGCAGCTTCACCAAGGAATGAATATCCTCTGGGAGAGCACAGCAGTGCAAAAAGAAACGTGTTTGATCAGAAAACAACCTGTGCTTGCTCTTGGTGGGAATTGTTGGGCTTCTGTAAATAACATCATAGAGTATGGTCTAGACCGATTCTCTGGTGAGGACGGGTTGATTCTGCAAGATTGCAGGTCACCATCCCAGAAATTTCAATTTCATTTTAATGTTGGCAGATACAGAGTTCAGTACATGCGTGGTGACCAGAAACAGGAAATACTGGCTGTTTGAGAAGAAACAAGAACATCACAGACCTGGGTCACTATTCTTTCACAATATGGGCTGATCACCTAACCTTCGCAATTTGAGACAGTTTTCTCATACTTTTGAGATACTTTTCTTGTATTTTTTGATACTTTTCTTGTATTTTTTAGATTCATTTCTTGTATTTTTTAGATACTTTTCTTGTACTTTTTAGATACTTTTCTTGTATTTTTTTGATACTTTTTAGGTTGAAGTTTTCTCTGCACCAGTCAGACTCACAGGTAAACTAGTAATGAACACAGCAGTGTGTATCTTTACTTTCAACACGGTGTGGGCTCCCTGTCTTGTACATCACACGCCACAGCAGATCTTTGGTTTAGTGAGAAATTTTATTTGGTATCTGTGAGTAACTACACAGTGTTCTCATACATGTCATCTGCAGTTCATCAAACTCTTATAATTATAAAAAATTAGGGCAATATAATCAACTTACATCTAATACAAAAACAAATCAGTCTAGGAGTGAGTGGCGCGATATGTGAATTGCTTTCAAAGGACACGGCTTTTGAGCATCATGGAACCGAGATTGGAAAACGAGTACACGTGATGTTTTGAACTATCAACAAACACGTCTCTGTGGCGCAATTGGCCAGCGCGCTCGGCTGTTAACCGAGAGGATGGTGGTTCAAGCCCACCCAGGGACGATTCCTCTTTAGCCCTTGGAAGTTCACGCTCTTTGAACGTTTCGTCCACTGCGAAGTACCTCTTGTCAAACAGGACTAGTGCCACGTTGTCCCTTGATCTCGCCTAGCTCATCCCTTTGTCCTCTTGTGACTCCAGAGGCCTTAACGGTGTTGGCTTTTCCGCTACCACATGCCATCCTAGAAGTGAATAGCAAGTCTGTTTTTCTTTGCTTTTACTGAAAAAGGAATGAAAGACGTTAACGAGCCCATTTGATTTCATTGAACATTCACGGGAAAGTCTGTCAAATAACCAAACGCATGGCGCCGTGGCTTAGTTGGTCAAAGTGCCTGTCTAGTAAACAGAGATCCTGGGTTCAAATCCCAGCGGTGCCTGAGTGGCATTTTTAATAACGATGTGCCACTTCCCAAAGACAAAAACGAGAATAACCTCATGTGCGTTCTATGCAGCTTCAAGAAAAACGCAAGTGAACAAGAAGCGTGGCAATCCGAATACTTGATTACAAAACTAGACGACCTGAAACAGGTAGCGTAGCTCCTGCGGCGGGTGCTGTGGCTTAGTTGGTGAAAGCGCCTGTCTTGTAAACAGGAGATCCTGGGTTCAAATCCCAGCAGTGCCTTTACAACTTAATGTGTCCACGGGAGCCTCTACCTATTCAAATCTGAAAACAAGAAATTGCTCCCTTAACACACTTAAACACCCTCTGACTGAATCAGCTGTTTCTAAAATCTGTCCTTTGATGTACTGGTCCTTACTGACTTCTGTCCTGGTGATCCCACCAGAGGCTGCTCTACATTTTCTAAAGCATGGAAGACAGACAAGTGCTACTGTTGGGCCTGCGTGAAAGTTGAACACCTTTGCTGAAAAACAGCAACGAGCAGTGCAGTGGGTTTGAAACTATTCACAACACAGGAGAGACACAACCTTACACTGCTGCTTCTGCATCTTGGAATATAGACTGGTTTTAATGGGCTATTGCTGTCGAGACCTATTTTACCCAACAATAATTGGTAGAAAATGCTGGCCTTGGTATCCAGAAACCAACTGGTTCCTATTATAGCAGCTTCACCAAGGAATGAATATCCTCTGGGAGAGCACAGCAGTGCAAAAAGAAACGTGTTTGATCAGAAAACAACCTGTGCTTGCTCTTGGTGGGAATTGTTGGGCTTCTGTAAATAACATCATAGAGTATGGTCTAGACCGATTCTCTGGTGAGGACGGGTTGATTCTGCAAGATTGCAGGTCACCATCCCAGAAATTTCAATTTCATTTTAATGTTGGCAGATACAGAGTTCAGTACATGCGTGGTGACCAGAAACAGGAAATACTGGCTGTTTGAGAAGAAACAAGAACATCACAGACCTGGGTCACTATTCTTTCACAATATGGGCTGATCACCTAACCTTCGCAATTTGAGACAGTTTTCTCATACTTTTGAGATACTTTTCTTGTATTTTTTTGATACTTTTCTTGTATTTTTTAGATTCATTTCTTGTATTTTTTAGATACTTTTCTTGTACTTTTTAGATACTTTTCTTGTATTTTTTTGATACTTTTTAGGTTGAAGTTTTCTCTGCACCAGTCAGACTCACAGGTAAACTAGTAATGAACACAGCAGTGTGTATCTTTACTTTCAACACGGTGTGGGCTCCCTGTCTTGGTACATCACACGCCACAGCAGATCTTTGGTTTAGTGAGAAATTTTATTTGGTATCTGTGAGTAACTACACAGTGTTCTCATACATGTCATCTGCAGTTCATCAAACTCTTATAATTATAAAAAATTAGGGCAATATAATCAACTTACATCTAATACAAAAACAAATCAGTCTAGGAGTGAGTGGCGCGATATGTGAATTGCTTTCAAAGGACACGGCTTTTGAGCATCATGGAACCGAGATTGGAAAACGAGTACACGTGATGTTTTGAACTATCAACAAACACGTCTCTGTGGCGCAATTGGCCAGCGCGCTCGGCTGTTAACCGAGAGGATGGTGGTTCAAGCCCACCCAGGGACGATTCCTCTTTAGCCCTTGGAAGTTCACGCTCTTTGAACGTTTCGTCCACTGCGAAGTACCTCTTGTCAAACAGGACTAGTGCCACGTTGTCCCTTGATCTCGCCTAGCTCATCCCTTTGTCCTCTTGTGACTCCAGAGGCCTTAACGGTGTTGGCTTTTCCGCTACCACATGCCATCCTAGAAGTGAACAGCAAGTCTGTTTTTCTTTGCTTTTACTGAAAAAGGAATGAAAGACGTTAACGAGCCCATTTGATTTCATTGAGACATTCACGGGAAAGTCTGTCAAATAACCAAACCGAATGGCGCTGTGGCTTAGTTGGTCAAAGTGCCTGTCTAGTAAACAGCAGATCCTGGGTTCAAATCCCAGCGGTGCCTGAGTGGCATTTTTAATAACGATGTGCCACTTCCCAAAGACAAAAACGAGAATAACCTCATGTGCGTTCTATGCAGCTTCAAGAAAAAGCAAGTGAACAAGAAGAGCGTGGCAATCCGAATACTTGATTACAAAACTAGACGACCTGAAACAGGTAGTGTAGCTCCCTGCGGCGGGTGCTGTGGCTTAGTTGGTGAAAGCGCCTGTCTTGTAAACAGGAGATCCTGGGTTCAAATCCCAGCAGTGCCTTTACAACTTAATGTGTCCACGGGAGCCTCTACCTATTCAAATCTGAAAACAAGAAATTGCTCCCTTAACACACTTAAACACCCTCTGACTGAATCAGCTGTTTCTAAAATCTGTCCTTTGATGTACTGGTCCTTACTGACTTCTGTCCTGGTGATCCCACCAGAGGCTGCTCTACATTTTCTAAAGCATGGAAGACAGACAAGTGCTACTGTTGGGCTGCGTGAAAGTTGAACACCTTTGCTGAAAAACAGCAACGAGCAGTGCAGTGGGTTTGAAACTATTCACAACACAGGAGAGACACAACCTTACACTGCTGCTTCTGCATCTTGGAATATAGACTGGTTTTAATGGGCTATTGCTGTCGAGACCTATTTTACCCAACAATAATTGGTAGAAAATGCTGGCCTTGGTATCCAGAAACCAACTGGTTCCTATTATAGCAGCTTCACCAAGGAATGAATATCCTCTGGGAGAGCACAGCAGTGCAAAAAGAAACGTGTTTGATCAGAAAACAACCTGTGCTTGCTCTTGGTGGGAATTGTTGGGCTTCTGTAAATAACATCATAGAGTATGGTCTAGACCGATTCTCTGGTGAGGACGGGTTGATTCTGCAAGATTGCAGGTCACCATCCCAGAAATTTCAATTTCATTTTAATGTTGGCAGATACAGAGTTCAGTACATGCGTGGTGACCAGAAACAGGAAATACTGGCTGTTTGAGA